AAACTACTGGCTCAGGCAATCCACTTGCCTCGGCCTCCCAAAGTACTGGGATTACAGGCTGAGCCACCGAGCCCAGCCTGAATTGAAATCTTCACCATATATACCAACTTCCCTTAGTATACTTGATCAACTTCAGAAAGATAGATTAAAAAAAAAAAAAGCCAGGCACGGTGGCTCATGTCTGTAATTCCAGTACTTTGGGAAGCTGAGGCAGGAGGACTGCCTGAGCCTAAGAGTTCAAAACCAGCCTAGGCAACATGGCGAGACCTCACCTTTACAATCAATCAAAACAGGACTTGCAAAAAACCCCAGCCCATACTATATAATCTTGGGCATTTATTTGTCTGGGTCTTCATGTATCTCATATACAAAATGGGTAACACCTAGCAAAGTATTACATATATAAAGCCACCTTCCTCCTCAGCAAAAGGTGTATACACATAGTAAGTAGCTGGGCAGGTGCGGTAGCTCACACTTGTAATCTCAGCAGTTTAGGAGGCTGAGGTGAGAGGATCACTGAGGACAGGAGTTCGAGAACATGTAAGTCTTCAATGTTTTGCTGAGTGAAAGAAATTTTCTACAATTGATTTATAACATGCTTCCTGAATTGATTCACAAACTAGTGACAAGGTTTCCCATCGCAAAATCACTTACTTTCACCCTACAGGTTATACATGGTCAATGAATCTATAATTTATTACTCAGTGTACCAAGTACCAAAGAATAAGCAGTGCTCAAAGAGAAGGGAAATTCAATTATTCATTGCAATAGAGACTGAGTTCACATCTTTAATGAAACGATCTAAGTTTGTACTTTGCAATAGTGGCCTACTGAACCTAACTGAATCTACAGTTTGTTCATTTTCTTTCCTCCCTAAACTGCTTATTTATGGCAGTGACACATAGAATAGTGGTCTCCCAAAATTACCCACATTCTAATCCTGGGAACACATTCATCCTGTGAAAGTTAGTTTACACAGCAAAGGAGAATTAAGGTTGCTAATCAGCTGATCTTAAAATAGAGAGATTATCCTGGATTATCAAGTTGGGCCTGATGTAATCATAGGACCCTTAAACACTGGAAGAGGAAACAGACTCAAGCAAGGATGTGTGATGAATGACAGAAGCAGGGTCAGAATGATGAGATGTGAAAATCAGACCTGACTTTGCTGGCTTTGGAGATGAAAGAAGGGGCCAAGAGCCAAAAAATGAAGGCAGCCTCTAGGAGCTAGAAAAGTCACACACACACAAAGATTCTCCCCTAGAGACTCAAAAAGGAGCGCAGCTCCATCTATACCTTCACTTTTACCCACTGAGACCCATGTCACCTTTGACTACAGAATCTTAAGATAATAAATGTGCTGTTTTATGTCACCAACTAGTGGTAATCTGTAATTTGTTATAGCAGCGATAGAAAACTAAGAATGTTTTTTTTCCCCTACAATAAAAGAATTTATTTAGTGTCCTTGAGCCAAAGGGAGACACACTGAGACATCAGTGTATCAAAATCAGGTTTAAGAATCTCTGATGTGGGCAACCCCTTCGAGTCCCCTCCCACTGTGGGAGCTTTTCTGTCCTCTCAATAAATCTTGCTTTTAAAAAAAAAAAAAAAAACCTCTGATGTAATGGGAAAAATATTTCATTCTACAAAACTTAAAATTTGGAAAGAAAAATGCCACCACAGAAGGTGGCATACTTCTAGTATAGCTGGGTAGATGTTGTCAAGCAAAACTACTGAGTAATAACTGTAAACTCTGATCAAAATACTTTTTTTTTTTTTTTTAATGGGAATCTCACTGTGTTACCCAGGCTGGAGTGTAGTGGCACACTCATGACTTCCGCAGCCTCGACCTGCTAGGCTCCTTCCTCCTCAGTCTTCCAAGCAGCTGGAAATGCAGGCGTGCAACACCACATCCGGCTAATTTTTTGATGTAGTGATGAGGTCTTGCCAGTTACCCAGGATGGTCTCGAACCCCTGGGCTCAGGAAATCCTCTCTCACCAAAATACTGGGATTATAGGGCCCCACCGCACCTAGGCAACAAAACATTATGAAGGCACCAGAGACCCAAGACAGCCATGCACAGGACAGGAGTATACAAGCCAGTGAGATTATTGTTTTTTTTCCTTTACATCTAGCCCGAAGGCACGCCTCAGTGAGAGTTTGGGACAGCCAAAGGCATGGGAAAGTGAGAAATGTCAGAAAAGGAAGAGCCAGAAAGGGTAAACTATATGTATACTCTACCCAAATCTCTGCTGAACCATGCATATGCATTCAGCAAATTCCTAAGAAACCAACCAAAAGACCTGAACCAGTATTTCATCTGCTGCCCACAAGAGAGATGGATAGCAATAACATAACACACTCTTTGGAGAAATAAAACAGGATTAGAGCCTCTTATAATATAATATTGTTCACAATGCCCAAGATACAATTTAAAATTTTCAACATATTGAAACCAAAAAAAAGGAAAACACAACCTATTCTCAAGATAAAAGAATCAACAGGCAATGTTGGAGGCTGAACTTGATGACTTCAAGGAGAAAAAAAAAAGAATCAACAAAAATCACCAGACACAGATTTCAAAGCAACTATAATCATGCTTAAAGACATAAAGGAAAACATCCTCAATGAATGAAAAAATAGAGGGTCCCGGACTTACAATGGTTTGAACTTGCCATTTTCTGACTTTATAGTGTGAAAGTGATATGCATTTACTATGCTCCTCGATAACCTCACTGTAAATTGAAAATATCATAACTCAAAAACACATTGTGGATTTACAACATCTTCTATTCACAGTGAGTTTACCAAGATATAATCCTATCATAAGTAGAGAAACACCTGTATTTGAAAATGTCACAACTCTCTCCTACCAAACTTAAATTAGTAGCTTGGGAATGAGGCAGTGATGAGTTCTAAAGTGGTATCAACATTACAGAAAACCATGGGTAATTACTGAAGTAATGAAGGGAATAAGTCTATCCTGAGAACTTATTACTTAAATAATTCATAATTTTTAATCAATTCTTACAATCATCTAATGAGGTATTATCTCACTTTACAAAAAAGAAAAATGAGGCCCACAGAAATTAAGCTAGATGTCTCAATGTCACACAACTAGTACTAAATTCTGGTCATATTTTAAAGATGAGCTGAAAAGCCTGTCAAAGAGACCAGCAGCTAACAAAGCAGAAATCAGAACAAGCAATTGCTTTGAAAATGTAAATGGGGGGGAAGTAAAAGTCTCTCATTTAGGAATGAAATGTCCTTATTTAGACCTCACTCATACTTTTCCTGATCTAGCCTACTATTGGTGAAAGGTTAGAAAAAGGGCTGGTTATTTAAGTTTGAAACATCCACACAATGGAATGCTATACAGCATGAAAATGTCTAGATATGGAAAGCTGATCAAAACATATTATGGAAAAGCTGGCTACAAAAATCTTCCAACTAAAAAAAAAGGTCTGTTAATTGTAGACATCAAAATATTAACAATGGTAATTCCAAGCTGATGAGACTACGAGTGATTATTTTTTTTTTTAGCTTATTCTATTGCTATTCTCAATATTCAGTTTTTCCTACGGTGTACTACTTGTGTAATAAAAATTAACTGTATTCATCAACGCAGTAAGTATTTAGTGGGCACATACAGCATACTAGGTACTACCTGAAAAAAAATGAGAGGAAAAACACTGTTTCAGAAACATTAAACTTGATTACAATTTTCCTCCACTACCTGAAGTTGTTCTTTTTCATTGTTAAAACTGCGTTTCAATTTACACTTCTAACCCTTCTGCCTCAAAATCCAAAGAAACAAAATATATGTGTACCCCTATTTCTATCCTTTCTATAATAGACTAGGTCTGACACTCATCATCTCCCACCTAAGGTTCTGCAAGAGCCTCTTGACTACTTAGTCCCTCTGGGTTCAGTCAAGCCCCTTTCACCCTCGTGTCACACAGTGATCCATCCAAAATAGAAAACCAACAATATCGCTCTGCTCCTCTAAAACCTTTCAGACTTCTCACTGCCACTAAGATAAAGTCAAACTCTAGTATGGCATGCAAGGAGCGCCAGTATCTGGCCTCTGACCTGGCCTCTACCCCTCTCTTATTTCACTTGGGAACACATCTTACCTCCAACAACAGAGTTGGCTTCTTATACACACCAACCTCTTTCTTGCTAAGTATCAAACATTCTTTTCTATGTTGTCCCTTCCACCTAGCATACCCTCTGATTCCATCCTCAATCTCTTAGTATTACATCCAGGAAAAATTCCATCCCCCTTTCAAACCAAACTAGATGACCCTATTGCTGTCTCTAACATTGCACGGTATCATATTTACCTTAAGGTTCCTCTTACATGAGACTATCAACTCTAAAAGTAGAGGGATTGTCTAGGTCTTTTTCTTATCTGTAATATGAGGTCAAAATAGTACCAACCTCAAAAATTAGATGTGGAACGTAGGTATTTAACTCGGTGCTTGGCACACAGGAAACAGTCACCAAATGACTGTCATGAGTATCCACCTGGAGTTCAGGAGTGCATGTAGGACTTCAAATGTTTATTGAAAGACTACACTCTACAAGAGGGAGTAGTTCCATTTACAACTGAGGAAACTGAGAAAGATGAACAGTCCAAGGTTACACAGCTACAAAAGGCGGTGAAGCTACCATTCAAACTGGAGTCTAATTCTAGAGCCCTAAACTCATTGTATAACATAAAATCCCTCTTTTGCTGAGAACTAATTTAACCTTTCTATTTTACGCCTGAGAAAAGACCAATAAAGATAAGTTTTCCTTTCAGTAAATGCCTGTGGTATAATCAACATTTCTGGAATCTGCACTTTAGATTGAACTCAGCGATTCGGTTTCCTTGCCTATAACGAGATGTACTTGGCTCTCAAAAGACCATTCAAGCTCTAAAATCCCGTGTTTCTTCGGGTGGATGCAGTTAGTTGTGGTGCTGTTCTTTCAGTTAGTTGATACGATTACGTACCAACATTTCCGATACGCAATGCACAACTGCAGTCAACCCAACGCTGGTCACCCTTCTGCGGCCCTAAAGCAGCTCTCAGGAAGCCTTCACCGAGAAAGCCAGGGTTCTCTCAAGGATGCTGCAACCTGACAGCAAGGCTGTCACCAGGCCTGACGACCTGGCAAGGTGCCTCCTCCCTCGAAGGCAGGGGTCTTGGAAACTAAACCGGCCCCCCCAGGACAGGCCTACGTTCCGCGCTGAAGCGAAACAGCAAAAATCAGATCGCCAAACGGCCCCTCCTTTCTGCCGCCTCAACCAAGTCAGGCACACGCGTCTCAGTGGAGCCGGGGAGGCCACTAGCTGCCGCCGGCAACCTTCCCTCCGGCTCCTCGCTCGCCGCGGAGCTGCCGCGGCCTCCCCGCCAAGAGGACGAAGGCCGCGGTGCCCTTGCCGCCGCCTGCAGGCCCGGGGACAGCCCTGGGCTCTCCTGCGCCCAAAACCAAGGGAGGCACGGAGAGCGAAGTTAGGGCGGTGGCGGTGCCAGGCTCATCCCGAGCCTCCTTACCCAGTGGGCGGCGAAGCCGGCCGCCCGGGCCCGGAGCGCCGTGGAGAAGAACATGGCGGACCAACCCATACGCCTTCCCCAGGCGGCGCCAGGCAGAAGCCTGAGCGCGCCCGGGACGCACAGCGTGCGCGCTCCCGAGCCCAGACCAGTGCGTGCATGGCGATGCGCCGCTCTCCACGCCGAAGGGCGACGACCGGCGGGAGCGCGCGAAGGCGCGCGGGGGGTGCTGGGCCCAGTGGGCGGAGACTTCCGGGGGTGAGGGGCGGGATGGGAACGGAGGGCACGGCCCGGAAGCAGCCTGAGCCCTCGAAGCGCTGGGTCCTGCGGGCCGCCGCACGGGTCTGGGTATGGAAGGGGAGAGTCCCGGAGCGGCGCCTTGGAAAGAATTAAACGCCCATTTGGATTTGTGGGGCGAGCTCCCTTCCTGGAGAGCCGTAAGGATTAACCACCTTCCTTTATATTGCCGTTACTTAAAAAAAAAAAAAAAAAGCAAAAACCAAAACGCCGGGCGCGGTGGCTCAGCCTGTCATCCCAGCATTTTGGGATACCGAGGCGAGAGGACTACCTAAGCCTGCGGGTTCGAGACCAGCTCGGGCAACTTGGCGAGATCACGAAGCTACAGTAAATTTTAAAAAACAATAATTAGCCGGGCGTGGTAGCGCGCTCCTGTAGTTCCGGCTACTTGGAAGGCCGAGGCGGAAGGATCGCCGGAGCCCAGCGGGTCGAGGCTGCGGTGGCCGGGAGCATGCCCCTGCACTCCAACCTGGGCTGCGGAGTGAGACTCCAACTCCAAAACAAAACAAGGAAACATTCTGGCCCTCAATGTTGATTTAAATTATTTTATTATAACGTTCCTAAATATATATACACCCAACACTATTATTACACATATAATAGTTCTTATACTATTTGTTGAACTAAAACCAAGACATGTCACAAGTACAAACTTACAAATGAATGACACTGATATGGTATGGATTCTTTGAATCTGTGATGCGTGCTTTTATTGGATTTTATTAGGGCCTTCTCTAACCTCCCAGTCCAGATTAACCCTCGAGATACCCCAGTGCAAATATGCCTGCCTCCACTTTCACTACCACATTTACCACCAGATTATAGGTAACCTCCATGGGCACGGAGACCTGCCCTTCCCATCTTGTTTGGTTCAGCGTCTTGCACTATACCTGGCAAATAGAAGGTATTCAATAAACATTTGTTGATGGGGCAAATACCTTGCACATAGTGCAAATATCCTACTATCTAAAAGGGTTCTATCTATTGGGTCAAAATTATGCTTATTTCTATGAGTATCAATGAGAGTACTTTTTGCTACAAATAACAGGAGACCTTAACTAATGTTAAGGAATATTGGGTTCATTATCTCACATGAAAAGAATTCCAGAAGTAGAGGAACGCCAAGGTTAGTTAATTCGACCTTGCCCAAGGATATCCTCCAAGTCTTAAGTGCCTTCCAACTTTCTACTCCAGCATACTCAACTGTGACTCCTATTGTGGTCACAAGATGCCTACAGCCGATCCAAATACCATATGCAGATGACCACATTCCAACTCTTACCTCTAAAATGCCCCAGGTGTTTCTCTAGCTGACTTTGTCTTGTTGACATACAGTTCATGGCAGTGAAGAGGGCAGGCTCTAGAATCAGACGGCCAGCACTCAGACTCTAGCTCTACAACTTTCTAGCTGTATGACTTCACTCTCTGGGTTTCAGTTTAGTGATAGTACTTTCCTCATAGCTTTATTATGAGAATGAAATGAGTTGATACCTGTAAAGTTCTTTAAACAGTACCTAGCACAGAGAAAGTGCTTAATGTTAGCTTCTCTCATCATCATCACCATCATCAGGAAGAGGACATTATAATGTTATGATGGCTAAGCCCACCAATGAAAAGAATGCAAGATCCAGTTTGGGGCCAGTTAGCTCCTGAACAAAATAGCTATGCAGGCAAGGAAGGGGCTGAGGGAATAAACTCAGTTAGACAACTGATAGGGTCATCCACAGTAGACTAGTATCTTTTGGAGTTCACAACCCGTAGAGAAGGTATATATCCCATTAGTGTCTAACGGGAGCCCTAATTAGAAGCCCTAATTAAGGACTTCTTAGGTATCCGCAATTTTTGTTACCTAGGAGCAGAACCAAAGAGTGCAAAGAGTAATGTTTACAATATTAAGGATCAAGGCTGAGTGTCTAGCCTGTTCACACTTTCTTGTAGATTATATAGAAAATAAAATGCTTTCAGTTCAAGTCATTAAACTGCCAGTAAGTGTGACACCACCCTCAGCCTTTCCAGTAGCTGGAACTACAGGCACATGCCAAAAAATAAAAAAATAAAAATAAATGTGACACCACTCTGTTCACCAAGTTAAAAGAATTATTAATGTCTGGTGTGACTTTGGCTTATCCTTAGCCCAGATAATACTCACTGAAAGTAAAGATGTCAGGATTAATATTGCTCGCGTTCAGTAATGTAAGTTAATTTCTAGAGTCACTCCACTTATAAGTACCCTCATACATAAGCAGTCATTCTTCCCAGAGCCCTTAAGATAGAATTTTGGGGGCTGTTTGGAAAACCCCTGTTCCATTTCTCACTCTCGAAGTAATTGTTTCTAGACACAGGCCAACATGGACATCAGTGATTCCAAATGTTACTGACCTAACCCTATAGTCTTGATTGCAACTAGCTTAATTACATAGAAGAGGGACACCAAGCCGGGACTGGTGGCTCAGCCTGTAATCCCGCGCCTTTGGGAGGCTGAGGTGAATGGATTGCCTGAGCCCGCGGGTTCGAGACCCGCCTGGGCAGCGAGACCTCATCTCTACAACAAATTAAAAAATCAGCCAGGCGTGGTAGCACGTGCCTGTAATTCCAGCTACATGGAAGGCTGAGGCGAAGGATCGCCGGAGCCCAGCAGGTCGAGGCTGCGGTGGCCGGGAGCGGCCACAGCACTCCAGACTGGGTGACCCAGTGAGACTCCAACTCAAAAAAAAAAAAGAAGAGGGACACCAAAAACACGGAATTATCTTTTGGAGGGTGGGCCCTTTATAGTACACTTGGAATGTGTTCCTCCAGATGAACCAGTCAACGAAAGTTTTTATCTGGAAGCTTTGAGAAGATTTCGTCATGATTTGTGAAAAAAACATCTTGAGTTGTGGCAAACAAGTGACTCATTCTTCCACCATGACAGTGCACCTGCCCACACCACGCTGAGTATTCAGCAGTTTTTGACCAAAAACAGTATTCGTTTGTGTCCCATTCACCCTATTTACTCGATTTCACCCCAAATGACGTTTTTTGTTGTTGTTTCCCAAATGAAAAAAGTCTTCAAAGGGAAACATTTTGTCCATGTAGAAGAGGTAAAACAAAAAATGGCAGAAGCACTAAAAGACAACAAAATTGACAAGTTCAAAAACTTCTGAGCAGTGGAGAAAGCATCTTCATAGTTGTATTACTTCAAGTGGAGAATTCTTTGAAGATGACTGACGTTTAGACATATAAGAATAAATACGCCGGGCTCAGTGGCTCAGCCTGTAATCACGTGCCTTTGGGAGGCTGAGGTGAGTGGATTGCCTGAGCCCGTGGGTTCGAGACCTGCCTGAGCAGCGAGACCTCATCTCTACAATAAATCAAAAAATCAGACAGGTGTGGTAGCGCATGCCTGTAATTTTGGCTACTTGGAAGGCTGAGGCGGAAGGATTGCCGGAGCCCAGCAGGCGAGGCTGCGGTGGCCAGGAGTGGCCACTGCACTCCAGTCTGGGTGATCAAGCGAGCCTCCAACTCAAAAAAAAAAAAAAAGAATAAATACACAATTTTTAATAAATAAATTCCGGGGTTTTTGGGGTCCCACCTCATACATGTAATGAACGTGGCTACCCAGTTAGATACATTCCACTGTTCTAAGTTAGTGTTAATACTATAAGCCCAGGGAAATTGGCCCCATCTATAGTGGTCAACCCTTTAAATAAAAAATGTGGCTAGGTTCAGTGGCTCATCCTATAATTCCAGCACTTTGGGAAGCTAAGGTGAGTGGATTGCCTGAGCCCATGGGTTCGAGACCAGCATGAGCAACTTGGCAAGACCTTGTCTCTACAATAAATAAAAAATTAGCCAGGCATGGTAGCGTGCGCCTGAAGTTCTGACTAGTAGAAAGACTGAGGTAGAAAGATCTCCAGAGCCCAGCAGGTCAACGCTGGGGTGGCCATGAGCGTGCCATTGCACTCCAGCCTGGGTAACAGAGTGACACTCTGACGCCAAAAAAAAAAATAAATGTGTGGGTGTTGGAAGTGGAGGTTGTAATACTGGGGAGTAGGGGAACTAGAATAAAGTCTAGGGAAATGACCAAATGTTGAAACTTTGACTCTCATATCTATGATTTCTTCTCTATTTAAACCATCACACATAGGCACTGTCAAGGACGTGGTATAATGAAAACCATGAGCTGTATAAATTGGACAAACTTGGATTTGAATTATGACCTCATCACTTACTTGTTTCTGTGATGCTTGGGTCCTCAGTTTCTGAATGTATAATTAGAACATTAAATAATTCAATGTATGGAAAATAATTAACGTGTGCCTGGCACACAGTAAAGGTTCAAAAAGCTTTTTTTTTTTCCTCCCAGTATCTAACAACGTGGTCCACTCCATCTGTGGAATACTTTAGTCAGACATTCTAAATTATAATTATCTCCTAAGTCACATTCTACTTATTAAC